TTTTTTTTGATTTTTCCGACTCTCTCGGAAGTCACTCCGCTGCGCTTCGTGGCTTCCTACCCCTCCCTCTTCATCGTGATTTGATTAGTGACGTCACTTCTCCTAGTCTGCGTTACCTGTGGCGTGACTAATGACGTCAGGTTCTTTTCAGTAACCGTGACCGTGGCGTGACATGTGACGTCACTCCATTGTTCTCCGGAGTTTCGACCAATCAGCGTCCAGAAATTCGCTTCCTCCCGTTCCTCCCTGGCGCAGAACGCTCATTTTATATCTACTTGGATTTATAGACGGAACGGTAAGACCGATAGCAAGGCCTGGAGAAAACCAAAAAGTTGTCTATAATGGGCATAAAAAAGTACATTCACTAAAGTTTCAGTCGATGACACTGCCAAATGGGTTAATAGGTCATATATATGGACCAGCTGGTAAGTAAAATTGATGACTGTTTTCTATATCATGTATATTTCCATGTCACACGTTTTTTTACTATGAATAGACATTGTATAAAAGATCACATACTTTGGATATAGATTGAAGATGTATGATTTAGATTTATAATTAGGGTGAATTAAGAAAATTATATCATTGGCATCAATGTATAATTCAGTAAAACCATTTTCTCTTTAGTGGGATCAAGACATGATGCTGGCATCCTTGCTGATTCAAATCTTCTGGCTGACTTGGAACAGTATGCCTATACACAAGCTCGTAACCCGGTATGTCTGTATGGAGATCCTGCCTATCCCCTCCGAGTTCACCTCATCCAATGTCCATTTAGGCAGCCTGTACTTACAGCAGACATGGTGGCTTATAACAAATCAATGAGTAGTGTGAGGGAATTAGTAGAATGGATCTTTGGAGACATTGTTAAGTCATTCAAGGCTCTAGATTTCAAAAGCAATCTGAAAATATATTTGAGCTGTGTAGGCAAAATGTACATTGTATGCGCATTAATTAGAAATGCAATCACATGTCTGTATGGTAATCAAACATCTAAGTATTTTGAGAAGGATCCGCCATCATTAGAAGACTACTTTAGATAAACTGAATGAAAAGTAAACATTAAAAGAAAACACTTACAACTTGAAATCAATTGTGTTTTATTTTTTTAATAGAGATTGTGCAAAGCTTGCAAATTATTATCGTGTTTAAAAATGCAACAGTCATTAACATTGTCATATAGAGAGAATTGAAAAGTTGCTATCCCTGATCACTGGCAAACCAAATATATGTAAAAATGGGGCAATCCTTCAAGTGTTCATATGTGCTGCTTTTTATATAGTGTATGCCCCAAGTTAGTGTGTTGGGATGAATGATGCATAAAGTACATACATGTTGTAAATAATGTAATTTCTTCGATAATGATAAATAAATAAATGATTTTTTTTCTTTTGGGTAACAATGCTCTATTTTTTTGAAAGTTTTTCTATTAAACCCATCAAAGCAGTGCTTTGCTGTACCATCATCATCTGCAACTGTTGTTGTTGCTGTTGTTGCTGCTGCTGCTGTTGTTGCTGCTGTTGTAGCTGTTGCTGCTGAAACTGATGCTGCTGCTTCATGAGCATGTTCACAAGAGAATCCTGGGAAGATTTCTCATCTTTTCTCAATGCAAATTCTTTTTCTTTCATTTCCATCTGCATTTGCATCTTTTCTCGCAAATACTCCACTGTTTCCGATCCTGTCTTTCTTTTTTTCTTGTTGTATTGGACTAAAATAACTTCATTGTCATCATCATCAGCAAATGGCCCGCTTCCTTTTTTGGGTCTCACTAAACTTCTCCATGGACCTCTGCCTCATTTCAACTGCTGCCTCATCTTTCTTCTTCTTTGCATCATCTGGAGATAAATGTATGAATTATATCTCTTATGTAATACATACAATATGAGTGGGCGATCTGTATGAGGATTTAAAACAGCGAGCTGAAAGCGAGCTGTTTTAAACCTCATACAGATCGCACGCGAATATTGTATATTACTTATGAAACGTTAAGGTAAATTAGCTCAGGTTTTAAAGAAACTTTTGAAAAAAAATTCAATCTGACTGAGAAAATCAGAGTAAAAGTTTATGCAAATGAACAAGAAATCTGTATGTAATATACAACTCTCTTCATGGGCTATGATTTCTATTGTGTTTTGCCTTATGAATATTAATGAGTTTTATAA